TCCCTGAGATGGGTGAGAGTGTGAAAGGACAATGCAGTATTTTAGAATTTAGAAAAAGCAGCAGTGGCGTCTTTCTGTTCTGCATGTAATTTCTTTTCAGACAAAAAGCTAGGCTCATTTTGAGTGAACTAAAAAGAAAACCTGTTGATATTGAATACAAATATTGAATTTGTACAACTCAGAGTTTACTTTTTTTTTTTTTTCCCCCCTGAGAAGCTTAATAAATAATGAATGACAAGATGTGCATTTAGGTTCATCTAACTCTATGGCTTATTAACATGTAAAGCAATTTTTCTACCTTTTCCTTGGTTGAGAAAGACATTCAAAATACGCTCATTTTGCAGAGTGATCTCCCCTTTTTACAGGAAATGCCAGCAACTCCAACTGTGTCAGTCCTTAGTCTGAAGCTGTGAAGAATAAGACTCCCATTTCCTGACTGCATTTAAATGTTACGACGTTAGAGAAGAATTAAATTGTCTTATTTATTCTTTGTTAGTTCAAAATAAGTTAGCAGCCTGTTTTTAGAGAAATACATGATCTACATACCTCATTTAAAAGTAGTACTTTTTTCTGTCACTTAACGAACTCCAGTTTCACCATACTGTTCGAAAGAAACATTGCTTGAAAAGGCAACTTACTTTCAAGAATTGCATATTAATAGAGCCAGGAATGACCTCTTGAGTTTATCTAGGTTGACCCTATGTATTTTCCTCTGCTCTTTACCATAGCATTGCCAGTAACTACCTTTTCCATCCTTGGAGATCTGTAGTAATGGTGTCTTAAGGACATTCATTAAAAATCTGTGATGCTGGCCAATTACCCTTATCAGAAATATTTAGTTGAAACTTTTCTTTCTTTAGCTTGGATCTTTCCTCTGAGACTATACAAGACTATGAACACTTCTGTTCTTAAATAATTTTAATCTAAATATATATGTAGCCAACATAATTTACCTTCAAGACTGCTCTTTTCTTGACTCATAAATCTGGCTTTATTATGTTTATCAGGAGATTTATCTAGTTCCGTGAAAGAGATTTAATATTGTAATTGTTAAGTATGCCCCATGGCTTTATGTCAAGGTATTGCTGACTTCTTCCATTGTACCAACTGTAATTAAAAAAAATCTTTCTAACCCTTCATTAAACTCTTATAAAAGAAAGGAAAATAATTAAATAATTTGAAAGAAAAATATGAGGCTTATTTAAACCACTTCCTATATTCTTTTTTCCTCCAGCTGTATATAATTTGTTTTGTTACAGAAAATTTCCTTTTGACAGTCTTTTAACGTTGCATTAACAATGTGTTATATTTTCCTTCTGGAGAATAAAAAGGACGAAAAGTTCATCTTGAACTGTTTTTCCTGAGTCCAGTCCTGTCTCCTTTAAAGAGAAAATAAGATAAACCAACAGAAAGAAGAGACAGAGAATAATAAATATAATTCTGCCTTTTGATGACCTCTCTTGCCTGCAATTTTACTGCTGGGAAATTACACCTCCCGCACATGGTTTTATGAACCACTCCAAAACCTGTAAATTATTTACAAGCTTCATGCTGTCTTTTTTTCAGTATTTCTAAGAATAC